CTATTGCTGTTGTGATAGCATTAGTCAGTTTCTTTTTCTTGGTGTTCACAGCATTAGTTCGCAGATGTTAGTTGCCATGAATATGTATCAGCAGAAAGTGTCAACCACAACCTATAGTAGCAATTGCAAACCTCGCCTCATTTACACTGTTGGGCTTTCTGTACTTGGCTCTCTCCTTTTTTACTGTATGTGTGTCCTTGTAACTTTTATGTCCTTTGTATTTGTTCTATCAGAAGAAGTGAATTTTCTCTAGTTTCTCAAGACAGGGATTATTTCTGCCATTTAAAATAAATATCTTGGATATTTTATATGCCCATCATGTACCCAATTTTATTTCCTTTGAAAATTTCTGCTCTGCATAGCATAGGTCTCTGTATGTCAGTGGCAATTCATATTGTATTTACATGTGAAAACAATCAAACAATCAAACAAAAAATATCAGTGAACCAGTGAGAGATTCAGCCAAGTGTCACATATCCAAAACAAATAGTAATTTTTTTTGCCCTTCGTAAAGACAGAAATGTAAATGTTAATTTTAGCAGAAGTTATAGGCTGTAGGAATTTGATAAATCCCATTGAAAGCAGAAACAATTTGATAATAAGCTTATCTTCAATCTATTTATGCAATGTTAATTAAATGGATTAAAATCTATTGTTTAAAATATAAATAGAAACTTTACAACCTAAGGCACATTACAATTTTAAGTTTAAAAAGAAGAGAAATAATGCAATCAAATAATCCTTTAAGTAGAAAGACTTATAATGAGCAAAACCAACTGCTTGCTGCTTTATAAATTCATGTATTTGTTCATTCAACAGGTATTTATTGAGTGCCTTAACAGGGAATAGAATGGAGTCTGTACCCTGAAATGACTTAAACTTCATTAGGCGAAATGGACAGTGCTTAGAAAAATGTGTAAGCAAGATAATTTCAGATTGTGATAGTTGTTCGAAGGAATCAACAGATGGAGCATTAATTTAGGCAACCACTTTGGGTGGGCTGCTTGGAAGGTCCTTTCAAAAGAAGGGATTTTTGAGGTAAAGGATCAGAAGAGAGGGCTCTGTGAAGATCAGGGGGACACACGTTCTAGGCAGAGGGAATACATTTGAAGGCTGAAATTTATGGAATGAGGACATGTTATGAGATGATCCTGGGAAGGAAAAATAGGGACAAAGTACTCAAGGCATAGTAGGCCATAGTGAGGAGTGATAAGATCTAACGAATGTTTTTAATGATCTCTCTGACTATTGTGTGAATAATGGATAGTAGGGAAGCGAATGGAGAGGCTGGGAGACCCAGCTGCTACTGGTGACTTGGATGTGAGGCAATGGGGACTCAGAGTGGGGCAGTGGAGGAGGTAAGGAATTGAGGCAGAGGAGCCAACAGGACTTGGTGAGAGAAACGAAGGAATCATGATGAACATCAGCCCCAGGATACTCTTAGTATAAAAAGGGAAAGCAACAATTAACACAGTGCAAACCTTAGTGAAACAGGAAACAAACCAAAGAGGCAAGAACTATTTACATTAAGTTAATCACATATTTCCATTCTACAACTGAGGGGTGAGATCTTCATACCTAAGTGAGGCATTCCATAGACTCAGTCCACCTGCATTGCAGGTTTAAGCTCTGCCAAGACCTTTTAATGAAAAAGGTCTAGCTGTAGACAGTTTCTCTCAAGTGGAGCTATCTTGTTTCTCTACTCCCAGCACATAGTACCGTGCACCTCACAGTAGAGTAAGCCTAAGTAGGTTAAATTCAGCATCAATTTCTACTCTTAGTTTCCTTTAGCAATTGTAAATTTTTAAAGGGTCTTCTATGTGCTGGGCACTCAGATTCTTTCCACAAAGTTGGAATTCATATCTACATCTGTTGTGTTCTAAAACTTTTGTTCTTTCATGACCCTGTGCTGCCTAATTGATCAGAAAACATATATTAATTAATCGTTTAGAAATGCATGTTTTTTGACTCCTAGTAGGTGTTCAGTAAAAAGTATAGTGGAAAATGGTGACAGAGAAACATAAAGACAAACTAAAGGGACTTATTCATTTCTCCCTGATAAAATAATAAAGGTACCAAATGTTCTAAATAAATAATTCTGCCAGTCCATGGAAGGAAACTCTCTAAGGGGTCACGAGAAGAGTAGATTTCTCAGAGCACGACTTATTCATTTCTCCCTGATAAAATAATAAAGGTACCAAATGTTCTAAATAAATAATTCTACCAGTCCATGGAAGGAAACTCTCTAAGGGGTCATGAGAAGAGTAGATTTCTCAGAGCAGAGAAGAGTAGATTTCTCAGAGCACAACAAATCAGATGGTAGATAAAAGGCTGATTGTGGTTTGTATTAAAGCACTTGCAAAGTACTATACTATGTATCAAAAGGTGAAAAATGATAGATCAAAGCTAAGATTAATAGAAGGTTAGATTTAGGGTCTTGAGAAAAGAAGGAAAAAACAAATGTGAGTAGAAGAGGAATATTCTTTTTCATTGTTCTCATTCAGCTGTGATGCTTCTAAAATAGAGTCCTGGGACCACCCCCACCTCATCCCAAGATGCTCTGGAAGCATGGGAATGGCCTGTTTAACAAGCATTCTTAGGTGATTTTGGTACAAGTAGTTAATGCAACACACTTTGGGAAATACTGATTTAGTCCAGTTTCTAATTTACAAATCAGCATGAGACGCATACAGGGAAAAGGTTATCCAAAGTTGCATTAGTCTTTTTCACTAGAGCTTAGGCTAACTCACAGTTTCCTAGAGGCCTAGTTTTCCCCTTTTTGATACTTGGATTTAAATTTCCAATTCCAGCCATGGACCTGCTAACAACACGTATCATTGCTATTTCTCTTCCAGAATCACAACCACGGCTGCCTGTATGATGGATCTAAGGCGGTACCCACTGGATGAACAAAACTGCACCTTGGAAATTGAAAGCTGTAAGTCTTTCTGAGAATCCAGCTAGA